CATTTTTAAATAATTTTTATGTTAATTGATTACCCTTACAATCTATCAAAAGTCTTATGCCGAAATTTACTGGATATTCTTTCACCGCCACTGTACGGACTTACTTGTATGACCCACAAATTATTGCATCTGGTCTGGTTTGAAAAAACAATACAAATATAAAACGCTTTCACTAAACAGGAAAAATGACTAGTAGGGCAATTTTTTAATTCAATTAAATTACATTTAAACAAAAAAATATTGTTTTAATGTGGGTTTTATAGTTATTTAACTTTAATTAACTTTTAAAATAAATGCGTAAATTGCAGTTTCGAATAACAAATGGTAGTCCAGTTCAGTTTCAGTATTGATCGTATTCCGTAGGTAACGTTCGTCCGTAGAATTGTTTGTTCGGTAGGTACAACCAGTATTAAACATTTTATAACTACTGTTTATTTTTTGTTAATGTATTATGTTAATGTATTAGGGTAATAATAACAGCTGTTTGGTGATGGCATTAGGATTCATCGCCCCTTTTAGTACCGTGGACATAGTAATAGAATGGCTTTGTCAAGTGCCAGAAAATATTTAAGCCTTCGTATACCCGCAACGGGAGCTGAGGTAAAAGTGCAAGATTGTATTCACCAATCCGCCTGCAAGAAGTGACAATGCGGTAAATATTTACGACTGTGAGAAAGGCGCTAAGACTGTAAAGCCAATATTTACTTAAGAAATACGTGGGTCCAGTCAGAGTCAGAGAACTTTTACAGGCTGAAAAAGAAAATAAAGAGTATCCCAATAATAAATATAGTTTGCAAAACAATTAGTCTTTGTTATGTTATATATATGTTTGTAAGGTATTAATTTAATGTGAAATGATTTTAGTTATTAACATTTAATTTATATATGATCATTATATTTTTTAATTATTCCACTATTTAATATTACATAACATAATATAAACATCATTCTAAATTCTAATTCTAATACTAAAAACCTTAAAATATATATTATAATAACTAAAATTTATTTGGAAATTAAATTCGCTATAGTTATTATTATATATAGTGACATTAGAAAATTTAATTATTTTCTAATGTGCTGCTATGTGGTCTTGTTAAAGTCCCTTGAAGTGGCAACGCATTTGTAGAATTTCTTATTTGGAGTTTACTGCACGTATTCGTGAGTTCCGATAACAGAACTTATCTCACGGAGAACTGCAAGCTCGTTTGTCATTCCTAATTTATAAACCCCGAACTATGATGTATGAGTTATTATTACTGATATTTTGATTTATCACTTTCTTATTTTGAGAATTGGCAAGAATATTATTACAAAAGTTATTGCATTTTAAAACGATTAAGATGAAAATAAAAATGAAAAGAAATTAATTGTAACTTAGTAGTAGTCCAGTCAAAAAAAAAAACAAAAATAAGTCATAACTTAGCCAAAATTCGCATAGAGCTTTCGCATAGAATTTTCTAGTTATTAAAACCGCGATATCTCACGAATCGTGAGTCGTAAGAGAAAGAGTGACTGAACCATTTTTGTAGAGGATTGTATGATCTACAGCCCTCACAGAAAATCAGCGTAAAATAGTAGCTTAATGCTGCTGTGTTTCGTATGGTGAGTGTAGAGAACCGGAGACCCTTTTTACTGGAAACGAGGTATTCTATCTTAGTTTTCACGGCTGACAACACATCTGCATTTTGATTCGTAATCGACGATAGATGTAGACACACACCGCAACCAAAACAAAATTAAAACCGCGATATCTCACGAATGGTGAGTCGGAAGAGAAAAAGTGGCTGGACCATTTTTGTAGAGAATTATATGATCTACAACATTTGTCTATTCTATTTTCACGATAAAACTTACCTTTTCGAGAAAAATGGAAAAAAAATTAATTTTGTATGTTTGACCTTGAATGATTTTTGACATTTTATTTATAGTGATGTATTTAACGTCTCTGCCAATTTTAAGCTCTATGCGAATTTTGGCTAAGTCAAATGTCTATTTTGACTGGACTGTACGCCTAAATTGCAAAGCATTGTCACCCTAGAGGACTACGATAGAATGACTCGTTACCAGTAAGTAGAGACGCTCGTCAAACGAAACAAAGCAATATTCTGCTTCATTTTACGCTGGTATTCTGTGAAGGCTAAGTCCTTCTCATGTAATCCCATGAAATACTAACTGCGATGTGGCTTTCACAGGTGTTTATATCGAAATATGGCAAGCGAATTTGTGGTAGCTATATCAGACGTCGGGAATCGTTAGTGGCGCTATCGAACACGGGTTCGGCCTGGATCTATCTGACTTTTGTTGATTCCCCCTTTGAAAAAACATTCATATTATAATATATAAACATAATAATAACTACAAAAAGGTTCGGTTTCTTTTCGTGACGATTTATACAAACGCATAATTTATGTGTATTTATAATGTATTAACTTAGCAATAACTATAAGCGAATTTATTTTCCAAATAATAAATCATTTTATCAAAGTGTGTTTTAGTAAGAATAATATCGTGAGAAAATGACAGTTTGGGAAGCACCAGCTGTTGGATGATTACATTAATAATTACGAACTTTCTTTTAATGGTTGGGGCGTTGCCTACTTTATTAGGTTCCATAATTCCATATATTAGTTTCGTTTGGCTCTATATTTATTTCACTAACATATTCATTTATATAGGTACACTACTGTAAAAGTAGTAAAATAGCAAGTATGACTAGTTTACTATTATTACTATTTACTATTATATTTTTATAGAATAAGGGTGACACACGAACACGTAGTATAAGTGGATGCTGCGGCCCATAGACGTCTTCGTTTTCCTTGATTAAGAATCAAAACGCAAATGAGTTGTCACCCCTGAGGACTAAGATGGAATGCTTTGTTTACAGTAAAAAGGGTATACTATTATATAAATCACGGTATCTAACCGGAAAGTGACCATTAGGGTGACAAACGAACTATCAGCTCACTTTGTGGTAAGTGGTTGCTTCAGTCAATCGAGACTTGCAATGCAGCTTCAAGCAAAAATAGATACAGGTGCGTAGTCACATATGCGAGGAACTTAGATAAGATGCCTCATATTATGTAATTATATTGGCTCCCACGCCTGTCAAACCGGAACAGAACAAAGCATTCTCTGCAGCTTGATCTACCCAGACGGACATATAGGCAGCAAAGAAGTTCTACCACATACAACAGCCATTTTACGGCATGCCTAGTACAAAATAGACTTAGCGACGAGTAGCAGTATGGCTTTCGCCGAAATAAGTCGATTGGTGACCTTTGAGTATATGCCGCATAATAAATTTTTAAATATTTTGTAAATTACTCGTATCAATAATAATAATGGACGTCTATCAAACATCATACGTTATACTCGTACATAGGTACACATCCGTTTGTGGAATGTCGCGTTAACGGGATGTATTCACGCACGTAGGTAAACAGCCCAGGCCCAAATCAAATTCCATCTTAACAATCACATGCCTGAAAGAAAATCTTACTTTGATCACCGCTTGGAAAAATAAACGCTCTGAAGGATTATAGGGATCACTCACGAAAAAGACGTCAAATTAAGAAATACTTAAATTTGCTCTGTCTCTTTACTACTACTACTTTATAAGACAAGCCATATGTTTTATGTCTACTACTATATTTACGAGAAGATTTTGCAAATGAGAACTGCTAATGTTCCCTTATAAAGTTTAATATTAAAACAGTATGGGGCCATCTTTTAATCACGTCAGGTGTTTAGGCCACATTCGTATTCCTCTCTCCCTCTTGGCTTTATTACTTATTAAAAATATCGGATAAATTTAGGATGTGTTTTTATAAAAAAAAGGTAAAATATTTTACACGTCACACATTTAATAACCATTATACATACTATATAATATATAGTATAAATACATATAATATTTATGGCGTTTTTGGCAATTAACAGATGCAATATATTTTTATTATTTATTTTATAATATTTCTGACAAATGATTTTATTCAATTATTAGGAACTTATGTATTCAATGCTTACAAAATTGAGACAGGGCAAAGAATTCTTGCGTCAGTCACTAACGGCTATTCAAAAAATACTTTTTGTTAATTAACGACAAACCATTTGTTGTACTCTAGTTGTATTTATAAGTTACTGGTACTCGGCGTGTTGGAGCCGCTGAAGAAATAATTGCGGGAATATCGTTTTAAATTTGGAATAGTTATAATATTTAATTATATATGGTAATAAATTTCGTGGAGCCTTGATAGCTCAGATGTTTAGAGCTCGCTGTAAATTTCACAGTACGCGAGCAAACCGAGTTCGATCCCCGGCGTCACCAATAAAATTGTTAATTGCAATTTTAAGTGACGATTTTCTATATGCTCGGTGGTGAAGGAAATTATCGTGAGGAAACTTTCATGTCTAAGAAATAAGATAAAGAATCTAAGAAATAAAATAATACTTAATTTATTGTAACAATACAATCGTAAAACCAAATATACGTATTTATTTTATATTAACTGGCTTATGTGCACTCGGTATGTACATAAAAAAAATGCGGACAAGGACATCTGTTAATTTTTTTTTGTTTTACACTAGTATTTTCTCCTGTATCGTGGAGGCAGTTTACATGCATAAATTGCACAAGGACAAACATCCAGGCCCGAATTAATTATTTGTAGGATATACAAATACTTGTCCCGTGCGGGATTCGAACCCGCGGCCTCCTAGCGCTGCAACTCACCTAAGCCATGGAGCCGTCTATTACTATAAGACACAAATATTAATTACTGCATCTTTTTGTGAGTTTGATCCTTTTTTCGTAACTAAGTCCTATTGTGAAAAGTTTACTACACAATACTGAGCGGAAACCAGTGCTGCAACAACCTATGTCATGTATGGTGGACTGGTATAAAAATAATTATAATTTGAATAAAGCCATTTTAATAGCGATTGGCAAATTTTCTATTTGCTGATCGCTATTAAAATGCAAATTTTCTATTAAAATGTCGGTAAATTTCCTGATTTAAGATGGAGATACCCACTAACTTTTTGTATAGCTATGGGTGACAACCGAGCACACAGTCCACCTGATGGTAAGTTGATGCTATGGCCCATAGATATCCACGTTTATCCTCAATTAAGAATCAAAATGCAAATGCGTTGAGGACTAAGATGGAATGCTTCGATTCCAGTAAAAAAGGTCTCCGGTTCTCTATACTTACCATACGAAACGCAGCATAATTAGGCTGCTATTTTACGCTGATATTCTGTGAGAGCATTGTCCCGCCTCGGTCGAGCCATACATTCGTGCTACAACTATAATATAGCTGCAGCGTGACTCTACCACGTAATGAATCTGGTAAGCATAATGGCGACAGTGATCATTTCGTTTGTGCAATAGCAGACCCTGAGTCATAAATAATCGATATAGCTACATAATATTAGCAAATAATTCATCAATGTACACGTGATAAGGTCCGCAGGGGGGGGGAAGGGCGGGCGGTTTACATCATTATTATTTAAACATGAAATTTAAAAACAATGTATTTTCTCATTTCGAATTATTTTTTCTTCCTTTCTTTAATAAAAAAGGAAAGTCCACGGCTCTATAGTTATCTCCACCGCATTTCCGGCAAACAGAAGGGTCACATGTCTTTGAAATTGTTTTTATTTGCCAGAAATGCTTGTTTATTCACAATGTTTTCTTTACTGCCAAACACATGTTAAATCAAAACTTTTTCATTGGTACGGGCGGACATAGAAATTTTAAGGCGAAAGCAGTTGCCATGATTTAAATTCTACTTTTAGTTTACGTGTTTCGCAAACGTTAAAAATACAAGTTAAAATATCTTGAGTCGGAGTGAAACATACTTTGGTTTGTAAAATGTTCTTCCCCGATTTCGTTTCGAAATCAAGTCACGTATCTCTGTAGTGGTACAAAGCGCATAATTTAAAAAGAATCCCGAGCATAATTTATCCGCCTTTTTGGTGTTACTTTGCCTCATTTGTAAGTAAAAAGTTTGTAGAAACGAAAAAAAAAACTGTACGCAGTGGTATCATAACATCCTAAGCTACAAAAAGAGAAAATAAATAGACCACATTCATTCTGCGAATAAAATGCTTAGTAAATGTTTCCTTTACTTCAAAATTTTTACTTTTAATAAAATCTAAAAAGAATAAAATGATTTCATGTTCTGACTTCAGAATGTGAAATTATTTTATTCTTTTTATGCAAAGTTTGGATACTCGCCGAGCTCAGACGAGTAGACACTTTTTTAATTTTGATTTAAATGCCTTGTTCGGGTGTTCTCGCGACTCGGCCCAATTATTCACCTGTTTTCTGTTTTGTTTTCCACTCGAAGTCGGTGTTTTAGCACGAGTCAAAGGAATGCCAGTATCGTTGTTTACGTTTTCTTACACTTCATTATTCGTTTGACTCTTGAACTTTGCCCAGGTGGTTATAAATTTTCTTTTAAAATAATATATATATATATATATATATATATATATATATATATATATATATATATATATATATACTAGCTTGCCTGGCATACGTTGTTCTGCCCTTTTCGACATAAATCCTTAAATTCGCAAAAAAAAAATTGTGGATCACTCATGGGCAAAACCTCTCAAACTTGCACCAAACTGCACACGGTGTGCAAATTTGATTAAAATCGGTTTAGTAGTTTAGGAGTCCATCGCGGACAAACAACGTGAGACGTCGTGTATACAAACGAAACGACGAAAAAAAAAAAATATATATATATATTAATAATTTTAGTAATCTTTCAAAAACTAAAAAAGAAAACAGAACTCTCTATTAAACTTTTAAAAATAGAAAACCACTCATAAAAACACTCATCAGCATTATTAATCTGCTTTTTCACGCCGTTATTCTGTTAAGCTGACCCATTTTAGCTACAACCATAATATAGCTATAGCGTGGCTCTACCTCGTATATTTGATTAAGATGTTTAGTGTATATGGGGCACATCCACTTACTATACAGTAGACCGTTTTCTGCTCACTTATCACTCTTGCAGAAATATTTCGAACACATTAGAAGTTCGCTACACGGTGTATATATTTTTTTTAATAACAAACGGGTACACAGCCGACCTGACGGTAAATGAATGCTGTGGTCATAGAATACCACATTTATGTTCAACGAAGATGGAATGCCTCGATTCCAGTAAAAAGGGTCACCGGTTCTCTACACTCAACGTACGAAACACATCAGCATTACGTTGCTAAATTTCGCTGATATTTTGTGAGAGCGTGGTCCTGGCCCAGTGCGTGCTACAACGATAATACAGCTGTAGCGTGGCTCTCCCACGTATAACGCGTAGTGGCAGTGTAAGAATATCCTCTACCCGTGGATGTCGTAAGAGGCGACGGAAGCAAACCAATCAGGAGATGTGCAGCAGCGTCTTCTTAATCACGGCGAAATAACTGCGTTTGCCAACCCGCTATGCCAAGCGTGGCAACTATGGCAATTATCAGGCAATCTATAGGGGAGGCCTATGGTCAGTAAAAAGGGTCACCGGTTCTCTACACTCACCATACGAAACACATCAGCATTCCGTTGCTAAATTTTGCTGATATTTTGTGAGAGCGTGGTCCTGGCCCAGTGCGTGCTACAACGATAATACAGCTGTAGCGTGGCTCTCCCACGTATAACGCGTAGTGGCAGTGTAAGAATATCCTCTACCCGTGGATGTCGTAAGAGGCGACGGAAGCAAACCAATCAGGAGATGTGCAGCAGCGTCTTCTTAATCACGGCGAAATAACTGCGTTTGCCAACCCGCTATGCCAAGCGTGGCAACTATGGCAATTATCAGGCAATCTATAGGGGGAGGCCTATGGTCAGTAAAAAGGGTCACCGGTTCTCTACACTCACCATACGAAACACATCAGCATTCCGTTGCTAAATTTTGCTGATATTTTGTGAGAGCGTGGTCCTGGCCCAGTGCGTGCTACAACGATAATACAGCTGTAGCGTGGCTCTCCCACGTATAACGCGTAGTGGCAGTGTAAGAATATCCTCTACCCGTGGATGTCGTAAGAGGCGACGGAAGGAAACCAATCAGGAGATGTGCAGTAGCGTCTTCTTAATCACGGCGAAATAACTGCGTTTGCCAACCCGCTTTGCCAAGCGTGGCAACTATGGCAATTATCAGGCAATCTATAGGGGAGGCCTATGGTCAGTAAAAAGGGTCACCGGTTCTCTACACTCACCATACGAAACACATCAGCATTCCGTTGCTAAATTTTGCTGATATTTTGTGAGAGCGTGGTCCTGGCCCAGTGCGTGCTACAACGATAATACAGCTGTAGCGTGGCTCTCCCACGTATAACGCGTAGTGGCAGTGTAAGAATATCCTCTACCCGTGGATGTCGTAAGAGGCGACGGAAGCAAACCAATCAGGAGATGTGCAGCAGCGTCTTCTTAATCACGGCGAAATAACTGCGTTTGCCAACCCGCTATGCCAAGCGTGGCAACTATGGCAATTATCAGGCAATCTATAGGGGAGGCCTATGGTCAGTAAAAAGGGTCACCGGTTCTCTACACTCAACGTACGAAACACATCAGCATTACGTTGCTAAATTTCGCTGATATTTTGTGAGAGCGTGGTCCTGGCCCAGTGCGTGCTACAACGATAATATAGCTGTAGCGTGGCTCTGCCACGTATAACGCGTAGTGGCAGTGTAACAATATCCTCTACCCGTGGATGTCGTAAGAGGCGACGGAAGGAAACCAATCAGGAGATGTGCAGTAGCGTCTTCTTAATCACGGCGAAATAACTGCGTTTGCCAACCGGCTTTGCCAAGCGTGGCAACTATGGCAATTATCAGGCAATCTATAGGGGAGGCCTATGTTCAGCAGTGGACTTTAATAGGTTGTAACGGTAGCGGTAAAAACATGAAATAACAAAAAATGCGGTTACCGGCACGCCTTTCAAAAATGGCAACTATAGAAAATATATCCCTAGGAGGCAATCTATGGGCCAGGATGTTCAGCTATGGACTTTTGATAGGCTGTGGTGGTGACGATGATGATAGTGATGATGATGATGTTAAATTCGCCAATTCACCCTGTAGTAGCGCAATGCATTTTTTCCTGTTTCTATAACCTCAGTATCCTCTAACAGTTACTATTTTTTCCAGGTGTAACGATGAGATGGGTGCTAAATAGAAAAATTCAATATCAGCGCTGAAGATGATTGGATATTTTCATAGAGCGCCGTCCTTAACCAGTTTCTCATCCCAGGTAAATGTAGAATCTACTTATAAGTACTTATAAATATTATGCCATGTGGTAACGGTTGCAATGCAAAAAAAAAATACTTCGATCGATGGCAAGCAGCAAGAACAGCGTCAAAGATGTGAAACGTCTTGTTCTGCGATCCTCAATCTTCTTGCCAAGCTGGACGATTAAAGCAAATCTATTTTATCTCGCAGGAGCCCATGTCTAACAAGGGACTGTTAGAAACTCTTAAAGAAGTTATTTTCATTACCACAGATAATAACAGTTATTAAAATTATATATATATATATATATATATATATATATATATATATATATATATATATATATATATATATATTATGTAACCACTCAGTACAAGCTACTTTGCATCATTTTTTTTAAATATTATGGTTGTAGCACGAATGGGTAGGCTCGGCCGGGGTAGGCTCGGCCGGTTTAGGCCCATGCTCACAGTATACCAGCATAAAATAGCAGCTTAATGTTGCTAATGGTGAGTGTAGAGAACAATAGACACGTTTTACTGGAAATATCATTAAAATCTGCAATTGCGAACCGGTCTGTCAAGCCTGGCGACTGAGACAAAATCTCCCCTATTGCCATTCTATGGCGAATAATATATGCCTATGTTCAGCAGTAGACTTTTAATAGGCTGCAATGAATTGATTTGGAAAGGTCATATTACAACATTTTTAATAATTCCTCTCCCGTTTACCTATCGTTGCCGCAGTATACACATCAAAGAAAGTTTGTGAAAAATTGAATAATTAAAGAAAGAAAAACATTCTTCAACTAAACTTATACGACGGTTTATTAATAGAAGGTTTTTATTTAATACTATTGTATCTTGCTCTGGCTCGAACACATGCGGAGATCCTCCTGGGCATGCTAAGGATCAAGTTATTCAGCACTCCTTGCGGTAACCTGTCCCATTTTTGAATGGTGGCTTCCCTGATCTCTGACACTGTCTAGGGAGTTAGCTGACGGTTCCAAACAGCTTGTTTAAAAGCATCCCATGCGTGCTCTATTGGGTTTAAGTCAGGCCGGCCGGCAGGTCGGTCTAACTTTTTGATGTCGTATTCGTGGAGAGTAGCATTGAGTCTTTGAGCTCCATGTGCGGGCGCATTATCATCGATCAGTACGAATTGGTGCTCATGGTTTACTCGGAATGGTTTGGCAATTCCATCAATAGCGATTGTTTTGTACCTATCTGCCGTCACGAAGCTTCGATACGGGATCAAAGGCGCTCTAGTTCCATCATAATTCCACCTCAAAAGGACACAGATTTACGGCCTTACTGAACAGTTCCTCTAGCAGGTCTTTGCCTCGCAGAGCCTTTAGGTCTTGTTCAGACACTGAGACGTCGGTTATCTAGATGAGAACTGATTCGTAATTCGTCAACGAAGAGACAGTTTTGTCAAATGTTTTCCTCCTCATCTTCATTTTGCCGGAGCCTAACCCACTGCAATCTCCGACGCTGACGTTAACGTGAATTTAGAGGTGTTTACCAAGACCTCTTTATTCGTTGTCCAGCCTGGTGTAAGCAATTCCGAATGGTTTGAGTGCTAACTTCAAGTTCAGAGGCGGCGCTCACATATGCTTTTAATTGTAGTGGCGTTGATTGTTGGGTTACGTGGTGCCAGCAATCTGATATATCGCTTCTGAGCATCAGTGGGAACAATTTGGTGATCACTGCAAGTTCGGTCAGCTAAATTATCCATGCCGTGGTACCTCTGCAGCTTGGCCACGACACAGGATTGGGATGCAGCAACTCTGCGTGCTATTTCTTTCGTGGAATTTTCTTCTTCCGTCAAAGTTACAATTCTTGCTCGTAAAACTTCTGATAATCTTGGCATTTTTCAATCACAACTTTCCTCGAAAATATTTTTTAAATACGTTAAAATTGACTAAGTCATGTTTCTGAACGAGCGTTAGCTTTGATTGAGTTTTTTATATGGAATAAACGACTGAATTTGTAGTATTGTTTTATATTCAAATTCTATACTTTTAATAAAGGATCTAAAAATAAGAAGATATTATCATGTCTATAGACCGTAACAAAAAATATTTCGATTTTTCAAACTGATCGCAAACTTTTTTGTATGTGTGTAGGTTCAATTAAAGGTTTATTGCACCATTTTCTCCGGTTGAGAACACATTAATTAAGCTTTCAATTATTTTTAATGACATGAATGAAATAAAGGCTATGATGAAATTTAATATTGCCTTGTATTTTATTTTAGACGTAGTTTTTACTTATAAGTTTCTTGACTTTTCCTGTAGACATGCATTAATGTCTTTATTCAGTGACCGTAACTTATTCTTTTATTAAATTTTTTTGTAGAGTGAAATATTGAATTTGACCTAGTGACTTGACTTAGTGTCTTAGTGACCATGCTTCATAATAGTTAAATCGAATCGAATGAGCAGCGACACAAACATTAACAAACTAATTTGTAAACAAGCCGGTGATAAATAGTGCTATTTCCATACGATTTCATCATGAATATGATCATCGCTTATGTTTTTTTTATGTAACCTTTCGGCGTTCATATTTATGCCCCGACTTCAGATGCTATTATATGAAAATTATTTCCGAGAAGTGAGTGATCGTACAGTATTTAATAAGTCAGTTTTCGACTACTAATCCACTTGATATTAAATGGTGATGTAGCCGAAGATGATTAAACGTACAGACAGCTTAACAAAAGCCTGTTTAATGTTGACTTAAATGTACGATCATTGCTAACGGATAGAAAAATGTCGATGCTGGCAAATTATTCCACTCCCTCGCTATACGCATGACGATCGAAGCAAACCGTTCGGTTTGTAATTTGTATGCGCGTTATGTCGACAACATAGGGGTGGAAATCCGAGCGTCTGGTTGTGTAACGGTTTCATAGTGATCGAGAAATAAAGTAACGCAACGCAACGCAAAACAACGTGACGATGTCGTAAGAGGCGAAAGAGAGACAAATCAGGAAATGGGCAGCTGCGTTTTCCTAATAACGACTAAAAAGACTGCTGTTGCCAACCCGCTTGCCAAGCGTGGCAGCTATTACAGGTATCCCCCCTGTAAGGCAATCTATGGGGAGGGGAGCTATGTTCAGCAGTGGACTTTGATAGACTGTAACGATTAAGGTAAATGTAGCCTTAGGGTCTCAAGAAGAGTAGTAAATTGAGACATACGTAAATACTGAAAGAATTTTACGTCGTTGTTCAACAAATTAAGAAATAGCCTATGATATTCTCCGTGTTGTGACCGCTTCTTGCGTATGTTATCCATCTATATGTCATTTTTCCTTTTCACCTCTTCTGCCTATGAACGACAAAACTCACACAGTTCCCGCTCGTCCGTTCGCTATAAAAATTCGAATAACGTTGTTAAAAATCTGACTGAAAAAAGCTATCGCGTCGGTAATCCAATTGTTGTGGAACAATGGACACACTGCCACAAACTAACCCCTTTGATACGCGTCCACACGCCAAGCTTTGGACGCGTTCCCGAAAATAAAAATTTACCAATGACTCCTCTGACGGTGTCGTTTACATAGAACGAATTTTTGCATAATTTTTTTTAATTCTACCTCATTTCTCGGATCAGTCCTTATTCATTGAATGAGAAAGCTTTCGATCTTCTCCCTCCCTCTCTCACTCTCTCTCTCTCTCTCTCTCTCTCTCTCTCTTCTCTCTCTCTCCTCTCTCTCTCTCTCCTTATACCAAGTTTTAAAGTAGGTACACATGGTAAAGTAGCACTTAAAATTGCAATTAACAATTTAAGTGATGCTGGCGAGAATAGAACAAAACTAAAAATAGTATTTTCGTTAAATGATTCATAGCTTTGCGGTGGTTGATTTAAAATTCCATTCAACGACAATACCATTTTCTGTTAACAGTAGTAGTGGTAGAAGTTTTACACGCAGGAAGTACTTTTAATACATTAATTGATTTTCTTTCGTGCTGTTTTTTACAATTCGTGTAGATCTTTGTTCTTAGCTCTTTATTATAATTATGTTAAATTGTGATTTGCCATGAATTGATATACTGTAAGGAGAACAAGTGAAGACATAAACTTTTGGAGATTTCTATATTCAACAGTTCTATTAGCGTGTGAAGAAATGCAATGATGATGTGGCGGCGCTGTCGTCGCGCCACAAGCGAAATACATCGAAGCCTAAATCACGCTATCAACATTCCGAATCATAAATAGTATATATAGAATATCTCCGAACTATCAAAAGGAGTGTTGGCCGCTCCCCGGGCAGAACACCTTGCCCGGCGGGAGATCTCCCCTTTTCCTTCACGGCAACAATGATAATTACAAAGGAATCATCACTATAGCCCATCAAAAGTACACTGCTTTCCCCATGAATTACCTTATAGTAATTCTCATAGATTTTTGAACCCCAGATTTTTTTATTTTGAGTTGTTAGGAAGATGCTGCTGCCAATCTCCCATTTCATTTTCTATTCCCGACTCTTACGACATACGGGATATGGGATAGTGGATTCTCTCATGCTACCACTACTTGCGTTTTATGGATGATTGACCCCTGGGAATGTGGTGATGGTTACCATGCTATTTCTAATTTGTTTTGAGTTGTTAATTATTGTGTAACTTTAATGATTGTAAACTATTCTTTCTTTCAAAGAAAAGTCCCGCTGGGTTTCTTGCTGGGTCTTCCCAGTACATAGGTATTATCCGAGCCAGTGGTAAATTGAACATAATAGTGGCTTTCAATAAGTATTATTTATTATCTATATTGAATAATGAAGTTTCTAGTTTGAGTTTTTTACGTGGTAGAGCCATGCTGCAGTTATATTAGTAGTATAGTTGTAGCACGAATGGGTCGGCTCGACCGGGGAAAGACCACGCTCTCACAGAATACCAGCGTCAAATAGTAGCTTAATGCTGCTGTGTTTCGTATGGTGAGTGTAGAGAACCGGAGAACCTTATTACTGGAAACGAGGCATTCCATCTAAGCCCTCATGGATGACAACGCATCTGCATTTTGATTCGCAAATGAGGATAGATTTAGATGTCTATAGGCCACAGCAACCACTTACTTGTTGTCATCCTATCATATTTAAAAAAATCCATGTATAATGTACAGTCTAATGTTGTAAATGATATTATAGTAATAATACATGTCAATCATGGAAATGTTTAGGGCTCGGCGACTGCGGGCGCACATCACATGCGTTGATGGGCGGAGGCGGAAGCGGAGGCGGCGGGCGGGCAGCGCGCGCGCTCCGCATTCTCTTGCTGCTCGTGCTGGCTCTGGCAGCTGTTGAATACCTCTTCGGCTCCATACTGGACGCATCTCCCCTAAGAACCTACCTCTACACGCCTGTATATAACGCTACCCAGACTACTCTTAAGTAAGTATTGAGTAGAGTTTGTTTAACTCGTTTTACTGAATTGTTGACCGGTTCAAATATTGAGAATAATATTAGTTATCATTTAAATTTTATTTAAATAATTAACTTTACTGGGAAAAATCAAGTCGTCATTTTTAATCGTTTTGTAAAAAATAATGTTATAAATCGCACTGCTTATTAGTTATTTTATAAACAGAAAAATCCGTATATCAATTTTACTTTCGTACAATTATTTAAGTTACTGGACGAAATATTGTGTTTATGTTGTTAACACAACTAAAAATTAAATGCTTGTGCATGCATGTTGATTCGATACCACAACTTTTGAGTTTCGCGTCTACACACTTAACTATAAGACTAGTGTCGTCTAAAATGTTGACATCAAATTTAATCGAAACTATTTTTTGCGTATTTTATCGCGTTTATTATTTAATTTAGTATTTCCGAATTTTCGCGATCTTCGAGACTTTTGCAGCACACGTGGTCACCTGGCTCACATGGCTGAAGTTTTCGACGTCTAATGCAGTTAGCCACGGCTGTCTTCAGCTTAAAATTTAAAAAAATCCGTAGTAACTAGTTTCATTCAAAGCTTGGTTGTGTTCACTAAGAAACAATTAGCAAATTTATCATTTTATAGAAATCCGTTGGCTTTTATTTCAGAAACAGTGAAAGAATTTCACCCAACTGGCCTAAAAAATTGCCACTCATATCAACTGAAACAAAAAACCCTGAAGTAATAACTCATTTAAAAAATATAACTGTAAATTATACAAACGTAGTTAATACAACAAAAATATCCTTTGTGAATATGACTCGACAAAATAGTACGGAAGATACAAGCACTCCACTTCTAATTACAAAAATAATGGAGAGTATAAAGAATCTCGTGACGACAGAAGACTTTTACAAAATGAGCGAACCGACTCTCCCACTCTGCGATGAGATGCCTCCTGATCTAGGCAAGTAAATTTTGGTAATAACGTATTTAGTTTTACCTTATAACAGTGTTGCTGGGTGTGATTTTTCAATCTATAAAAAAAAAAAATATAAAAGGAATAAAAAAATTTTTATTTTATTATTGAAATATCAGCTTTTAGACTTGTTTAAAGCTCTTACGAACGTCAAAATCTACACCGGTTCGCAAAAACAAGACCTCGTAGAAAAGTTAGATGTTAAAGTTACAGCCTATATACATCCCACTGCTGGGCTTATGCCTCTTCTCATTTCTGAGTGGGTTTTAGGGCAAGGAAGTGGCCGCCGCTCTGCCCCAATGCGTGGTGGCGAATTTCACAACATGTCTTCGAAATAATTTTTCCTATTTCTCTGACATGCAGGTTCACTATGTTTTCCTTCATCGCCGAGTAGGCGGTATAATCGTGGAAGAACCGGCAAAATTTATTGTATTAATAATAATCAAAGAAAACAATTTAAAATGCACTCGTTTATTAATATTTATTTATACATGTCAATTTTAACAAAATATCAGAAGCCTTGGGAATTATCAAGTGCCGATTAAGAGATATTTCATTGCCCTCAGTATATTGATCTATTTTGTAGTACCTAGACCAAAAATAATGACGAAATTTCCTAAAAGTTTTTTTTTAATTTTATGACAGATTATTGCACTAGAGATTATAAAATTTTCTTTATATTTGAAAAATAAAAAACTTAAAGAACTGAAAAGAAAGTAATTTCCACATAATTGCTTCTGAAGTGCTATGACACAGTGTATAGAAAAACTATAATTCATAATTCATAAATATTTATTTGCATAGAATGTAGGTAGATATTACAAGAGTATTATTAAAATATAAAAGTTCCTATACATTCTTCCTTATCGTGTGCAAATTTTGACTAAAAAGATATAACAAATTATTTTATTTTATTATTGATGAATTTAACTTATTAATTTAATATAAAATGGCTAATTGATAATAATATAAATGTCAAAAGATTAGTTATACTAAAAATAATGTCACTCAATCATTTACAAATGTCAATATATGAATATTCATATGTAAAAACAGTAAAAATAACTAACTAATAATTATTCTATAACTATCGAAGTCTTTTATAAACTCGCAGTAAAAAATTAAAGCATTTTTAGATACAGATGTTTAAATATGTAATTTGTTTTGATTTTTGTGATCAAGATACTCATTAACAGTATGGAAACAATTAAGTAAAAGCCATTCATGTAGTTTGTTTTATAACATTGCCATTGGGAAATTTTTAAACTCGTCGGGTAAAGACTAAGATTTTAATCGACATTATAAGTACATGATTTTTTTTTTTTTGGAAGAGCGTTAATTTACATTTTGGAAAGTATATTCTGTTATTAGATTTTTCTCTTAAACTTCTATCTTAAAAATTATTACTTGGGAAGTATTCAGGGAATTGTTTGACAAAAATCGTGGCTTATTTTGTATACATACATGCGAGTGGCAGCACTCTTATTTCTTTTAAATAATAGCTTGCACGATGTCATGGAATGTGCTCCAACTTCAGAAGGTGTTCTGTTGAAACTATTTTATTCTTTTTAATTATTTGTAGTAATTTATTGGCCCTTTTAAGTGATCAAATAATTATCTTATGACCCCACAGATCTTGACCAAATGTAATGGGGCCATCTCTAAGATACCCGTTTATATCAAAAAAAGAATTGAAATCGGACTACGAATTCAAAAAAAATATTCCGATGAATTGAGACCTTTCCTTTATTAAAGTCGCTAAACACTGGTGAAAGTGTAAAAATATTTATCTCCTTGAAAAGTTTGCGTAGCAACTCGCACTGCGCCAAGTTTACAACTTGGCCCGAATCGCTAGCCTTTGCAAAACGAATATCAATTCCTATCCAGCTGCTGATTCCCACAGTAATATTATTCCCACAGTAAATAAGTTAAAACAAACAGTTGAACTTGGCATGTTTAGAGATAAAGAGGAAGTAACATGGATCGTTTAAATGTTTAATCATTTTAAGCTTATTTAAAGCAATATGAATTCTACCACTGAGCACCCGTTCGAGAAATAAGATTCCTTAATTTTATAACATTGGAGTGACAATGATCCAACAGTCTACCTGATGGTAAGTGGCTATTACAGCACGTGGACATTTTATGGAACCAACTTCAAACAATACAGACACTATGTACCTATATGGTGAACTCTGATGTTTGGCAGAAATACATAAAAAAGGATGATACTAACTCGGACGCATTTAAGGTACCCGTAATATAGTGCCATGTGAATATGTTTCTTTCCTGATTTATAATGCCGTATTTAAATAAAAATTACAAATTAAAATAATATATTACAAGCTTATATATTTGGAAATAATAACGAGACTTGAGATATTATTTATCTGCTAAAATATTCTAGATGTTTGTTATGAAGTGTTTATTAATATTTTTAATAAACTTTATTCTTATTAAAAAAAAATTAAGTTACTAAGTTACCTTGAAAATTATTAATTGTTATCATATTTTAGGTCCAATTAACGTTAATAAAACGGAGATAGAGCTGGACTATGTTGAAACGAAATATCCGGAAGTTCATCGTGGTGGACGTTACGCACCACCCAACTGTACAGCGAGGCATAAAGTTGCTATTATTGTACCCTATAGGTAAGATAAATATAAACTGATAACTAACAATTACTTGATATCTATACAAAGACATTTAAGTATGTAGTAGTGATAGACCGGACATCAGTAACAAAATTGTCGTCTGTCACTTTTGTCCTATAGGATATACGAGTATCTCCGATTTTTGTCATTTAGTCTAAATGACGTCACCGAAAGGTCAAGACGCATTCGTTACATAAAGGGGATTGCCCACTCTTCATAGACACTTCGGCCATGGGTGCCCACATATAAAAGCATATAGATATGATAATATGCAATTAAAACAATGAAATGGTTAAGGAATTGCTTTAAAAAAAGTCGGGGTTTTGAAGATATATAAGTTTTTATTTTCACAAATGCAGTTTTTTTTAACAACTATTTATATCGATTTTATCGCGTTTTATTTCATTGATTTTTAATTCCAGACGTTTCGGGTGCTTTCCAACACCCATGGTTACGGCGGACTGAGGTGACTGACGTCCCAATGTCAGTGTTAACCCGGAGTACCTTCAGATTTTTAATTTTTATTTATGGTCCGATCTACAGAATGAACTTACTGTGTCTTGAAGTCTTGCAATGGTATGCTTGGGTTTAATTTTAATTTCATTAATTACAGGGTCTTAAGCAGGTGGTAGTACCAAGCCTCCTTCTCTATTGAAATTTTTTTTTATTCCAATAGTCTCAGGTATCGGCCCTTGATAGGAATTGGTGTACCTTTTAGAAGCTTTGTGGTCGATCAAATCTTTTTTATACGTCTATCTGGTTGGGGCCGTCCAGGATATGATCACAAACTGCAAACTTCCCTGAAGCTTGATGCTTCATGTCAGCTCGCTTCGAAGATGTAGCCAATCTTGTCTGTGACACCCCTGACAAATGCTAGTACTGCACATGCTTGACTGTGGCCGGCTTCACTCGGTCACTGTGACGTAAGCGCGGGCCTGAAGCTTGTTGACGTGCAGAACCTGCTTGACGTGCTGAAGCTCGACGGCTCGATGCTTGCTGCCACAGATCCCTTGTGCTCTCTGTAACAAAGATTTGCTCACGGTAACTAACTGTGAAGGATAATGGCGAAATTCATTGTTTTCTATACACAGTGTGACCTATGGTGTTGTTAGAATTTTGGATGACTAACGCATCTAGCAAAAGCTAAGGAATTATTTGCCTCTAATTTACACATCAATACATCATTCAGGAATTGAGCAGGAAGCAAAATATTAGTCTGATGCCGTGCCCAACCCAAATACCATATTACTGTCATAACATGGGCACAGCATCCAACAGTTCGACGGCCGACAGTACTTTTTAATTGCACTTCTACCAGAACCATTGCCAGTAATTAAAATAACATAAAATACACCTGGATTGAATAGTTGCTCCTCTGGTTATCACAGAGTTCTATCCGGTAGCAACCATTAAATCTTATATGCTCACCATAATAGTAGCGAGCTTGCTTAAATTGGTATGTGACACAAGCAATTAATATTAAGTCGTTGTAAGTTAAAACAGGAAATTCCCTAACATTTTAAAGTCTACATTTATATTTCTAAAGTCTGCTGCCCTAGCTCTATTTAGATTGCTTTCCCTAGCATACTCAGACAAATCATTATTTGTCTCCATATTTTGGTGAACAATTTCAAGTATTTAAGCCTCATCATCCCTGTCCCTTATTTTTGTGTGGAATTTATTAATTATAGCAGCAGCCACAGCAGTCTATCATCAAATGTGTAGAAGCCCTGTTATAGTAATTTTGATTAAATATTTTAAATTCAGTTTTAAAAATGCCATTCACCACCTCTACTACTCATATCGACACATACTCACGGCTCTGGATTTATTAGCATATCTTGTCATTAATTGAGATTCACCATCTGCTGGAGACATTGCTGCGGCCCTTAGACATCCACATCTATCCTCTATTACAAATCAAAATGCAGATGCGTTGTCACCCGTGAGGACTAAGATCATTTTCTCGTTTCCAGTAAAAAGGGTCTCCGGTTCTCTACACTCAACATACAAAACACAGCAGCATTAAGCTACTATTTCATGCTGGTATTCTGAGCGTGGTCCTTCCTCGGTCGAGCCGACCCATTCATGCTACAACTATACTTCTAATATAACTGCAGCATTTCTCTACCACGTATAACACACGTACATAGTAATTGTAATCACAAAAGAGACATACTCGCAATGCTGATGGAACATTGAGTCCATTGGAATTGTTACAACCAGGTAAAAAACATTGATTTGGTGTTAGTGGCGCTTATTTAATTTATAATTAGCTAGCAGTACACTTGTGGGATGTATGATCTAAGCTTTGTTGTTCTGGGTGCAATACATTACTCACTTCAGATTGCAACGAGGATGGACTAGATGATTCAGATGGTTCCCGTTCTGCAGTTGAATGTGATGCTGTTCTATCAGTTCATTGCCAGCAATTATGATACACACGGCATGACAACGGCAACTGAAATAATTTAAAGTACAAAAAATGAAGTCAAAGTGAAAAAAATAGATTTGTTTATTTTAAACTCAAATATAAATAAAATATTTATCAAGTTAAATGTTACTGCATAAGGATGGACTTAATGCCCTATATTATTTAATAATTAAGACCTGACAGACTACCAGCAGTCCAAAAACAATGAAAAATCAACGGTCTCTTTTCTTGATAGTTGATAAAAATGGTCAATCTCATAAATAGGCTAGTATGTTTGTCAGATATAGCTTGTGCAGATGTGAAAAAATAAAACAAGTTCTTGAGTTGATATACAATCAGTGTAAAAACATGTATAATTATCAGATATGAGCATCACACTTAATAAATTGAAAAATGTTAAACACTTACCTCCAAAATTATATCCAATTGTTGAGAGATCAACAATTGCATCTTCCAACAAAACAAAATAACACGATAACACGCAATTGAATTCTTGTGACATAACAGTGACGGGGGCCTACCTGTCAGATTCGATGTTGCCACTTAACTGTCATAAAATCTATGAAACGATATCGATTTTTATTCGATTAATAATATCATAAAAAGAATAATCTTTGACGCGTTTTAAGTTCTGCACGCTTTTTTAAAATACAATTTGCTTCATTTATTGAAATTCTATTTCAAACTTTTTATAAAAACAGTTAACTTGTGCTGTATTATTTTGTTATGCTTTAGAGAATTCATGGTAAATCAGCTAGAAATTAACTTCTTGAATTATCATAACATAATTCCATTTTAAATGTTATGTTAAGAACAGATAAGAATAACAGTTAAATTGTGCAGTAGCGTTTTGTTATACTCTAAAGAATTCTTGGTAAATCAGGTAGTAATTCGCTTGTTTAATTATCATAACTATAAATGTGAAGGTTGTAATCGATTTCAACCGAGCCTATAACAACGGTTGTTTTTGTTTTTAACGGTTGACTACCGCTTTTGATGACTTGAAATGGATAAAAATTTTGTGCAATAAGTTTTTTCTCTTTGCTAATTAATAAAGCACAGAAACCCGTATAATGTATAATAGTACTTTTTTTTAGATACAAGTAGCACATTTTAAAGAACCGCAAAAACAACTTTGTTATTAACACAAACACTATGAAAAACAAAATAATTTGTTGCTGGCGATAATGATAGTGGTATTTTGACTCGATTTAAAATATATGCTTGTTACTACAGAACTCTTCATGGGTCTCCGAGTCCGACTCGCACTGAACCAGTTTTTTTTTCAACTTTTAGTTTTATTTTAATAAATAGTTTTTTCGTTTAAGCGGAGCTCTTTTACTTTAGATTTATTACCTCTTTATCTATAATAATCAATCTGAGTAAGTAAAGTGTGCAAATACGATTATTAAATTGTAAAAATAATAATTGGATTTGAACATCTTAGGTAGGTATTTAGTTTTATTTATTTAGAAAATATTAATCTCACAATTAATTATTGTAATAATATAATTTTATCACACAACTAATGCCCTCATTAGCAATGTAATGGTGAAAGAATTTTCAAAATCTATTTAATATTATTAAGTTTACTTGCAACACTCCTTATGGACTGTTTTTTATAATTTTCACTCGAACATTTAATTTACAGTGCTCATTGGAATGACGAAAAGTAAAATTTATACCTTTTAAACCTAAGTGTTTTTCAACTTTTAGTTTTATTTTAATAAATAGTTTTTTCGTTTAAGCGGAGCTCTTTTAATTTAGAATTATTACCTCTTTATCTATAATAATCAATCTGAGTAAGTAAAGTGTGCAAATACGATTATTAAATTGTAAAAATAATAATTGGATTTAAACATCTTAGGTAGGTATTTAGTTTTATTTATTTAGAAAATATTAATCTCACAATTAATTATTGTAATAATATTATCACACAACCAATGCCCTCATTAGCAATGTAATGGTGAAAGAATTTTCAAAATCGGTCTTAATTTTTGAGATTAGCCAAAAAACGTATTCATTGAAAGTAGCGCCCTCTATAATAAAATTCATCCTATATTAGATATCTAAAATTATACATAACAATCTAGTGGTGAAGGAATTCTCAAGGTTGGTCAAGTATTTTACTTTAAAAGTAGCGCCCTCTATAATAAAATGCATCCTACGATTTAAGCACATAAAAAAACGATTCAACATAGCCTAACCCGCACACACAGTAAAAACATAACCATCCTTTTTCGTCTGTAGTTGGATAAACAACTGGTTGATAACGGTTGCGTATCGGCTGCTTTGAATAAATATCCATTGTCAACGGTCCTTTTAAATATATATCGTAACATCATAATGATTATCGAAAAATTATATTAGCATTGTAATAATGACATCATAAGTAATCGATCAAAAAGGGGAATCGATGTTTAATGAGATTTGTGATTGGCAACACTTTTTATTTTATTCACAAACTAATGAATTAATGATTTACCTAATTTTATTCTTATCTTTTCGGTACTTTTAATTTGTGCAAAAATATTCCCATCTTTTTTAGGATAAATGAATACCGCGATTAATAACCATAAATAAAGATTATTTTTTTAACAAATGCACATTGTTGGGCATTCCATGGCCGAAAATGGGCATCCCCGTTTAAAAAGTATTTTTAAAGAAAATATGCGCGGTTGTGCATTAAGTTATTGTAAGTCACGATATGGAGCAAAACATGAACATGATTTCTGTTTATTGTCCTAAGAATAATGTACATTTACCAAATAATCTTTAAATTTTATTATTTTGGTGCATTGTTCTAGAAAAAGTAAAAATTATTGCAATAAGTGCCCCCGATTTTTACTTTATATTTAGAAGCGTCACCTAATGGGAAATAGCTAAAATGTTTCCTAAATAAATATTCAGCGTAGTATTGCTATTTTTCGCTAGGGGGCTATATATATGTATATATATATTTGTATCTATACTGTCCTTATCTTCCTTGACTGCTTTGATGGTCTACTGGTTATAGTAGTGCGACTACTGATCATGAAGTCCTGGGTTCGAATCCCGGGTCGGGAAAAAATCGATTGTTGAATTTTTCCGTCAAGAAATTCTCAGTAGCTGCCTGGAGTCAGAAAATTGGCGGTGTCTCATCGCCGTACCTCGGAAAGCTCGTAAAGCCGTCGGTCCTGCGCCTTATCTCTCTCCGGTCGTGTCGGTTTACCGTCCCATCGGATTATGAGAGTGAGGGAATAGAGAGTGCATCTGTGCTTGCGCATACACTTGTAATCCTGTCCTGCGCTGATGGCTAGTCTCCGTTGAGGTTGGCTGCTGTGACCGAATTTCGGTCTAGAGATATTATATTATCCGTACGTACCTTATTATTTATTAATTTTATTTGTATGTCGCTCTAAGTTGAATTTTTACTTCTAATTTAAATAAGAGTGTAGTAAAGCAATGACTATTGTTAAAATCTGAATGATATGTTTTTTAATAAAATTGAAATGAGAAACGAACTTAAGAGTGATGGTAAGTGGCTACTGCCCCTGACTTCAGACAAAAAAGGCTACAAATTCGTTGTCACTACAAAGGATTAAGCTGGAATCCCACACAGTCTGTACATATACTGGCTGCCTGTACTGTGCCAGTCTTGCGACTGAAACATATTGTGAACACAGCAGTGTACGCTACTGCTACTTGGTAGCAGTAGCAATGTGGTGGTAAAAGGATGATATCTACCTAGACGTGTAATACAGAATGGAGGTCCTACCATCTAGTAATGTATATTTAATCTCTTGCATATATACACCTCTTTCTCCTTATCCTCATAAGCCCGTAAACAGTCTGCTGTGTAACATGTTGGTTTAATTATTATAGTAGCGATTTGTGTCCTGATGATGATTTGCTTGGTGACGGATTTGCAGTCGCAATACCAGCAGGCCTATTCGCTAACTTTCTTGGCATAAAATGATAATTACCTTGTAGTATTTGCGAACACTAATACACATAAGAAAGAGACAAACTGAATATATATATATATATATATATATATATATATATATATATATATTTATATATATATATATATGTTTAAATATATATAAATTTGAAAATTAAGTTAAAAATATATATATGAATATATAAAAACACGCAAGATGATGACGGTATGAGGATATGTAGGATAGATACAATTGAAGACGGGAATTTCTATATAGCTGCAACGACTCAAAACATACGACGCAATGTACCAACTAAGTTAACGAAATAGCCTGCTGACGTCTCGAAATTGTGGCAAGTTTTTCCGTCGCAGATCGGATCCAGCATAGGCGAAATTTTTCTTAAACTTGCCACAGTTGCTACTAACAAAATTTACTGTAAAGAAATAATATGATAAATGATCTTACTACGACTACGTTGTAATATTATTTATTCTGTGCTATTGCGCTCTTCAATCTACGTTTTCTCTTTCAGAGATCGACAACAGCACTTGGCGATTTTCCTAAATCACATGCATCCGTTTTTGATGAAACAACAAATTGAATATGGCATATTTATTGTTGAGCAAGATGGTAATTATTTAATATTATTAAGTTTACTTGCAACACTCCTTATGGACTGTTTTTTATAATTTTCACTCGAATATTTAATTTACAGTGCTCATTGGAATGACGAAAAGTAAAATTTATACCTTTTAAACCTAAGTGCTTTTTTTTCTTTTCGCTGAGGATTATTTAAAAGTTTTCACTCGGTTGCACTCGTTGTCGAGCATTGAAAATTCGTTGAAACATTTTACCAAATGTCCTCATTTTCATTGTTTTCTACAGGTAATAGCGAATTTAATCGAGCAAAGCTGATGAATGTAGGTTTTGTGGAAAGTCAGAAACAAAAGGCGGGTGGGTGGCAATGTTTTATATTCCACGACATAGATCTCCTACCTTTGGATCAAAGGAATCTGTACTCCTGTCCGAGACAGCCTCGACATATGTCTGCGTCAATTGATAAACTTAATTTCCGGTAAGCCCTCACTGCAATTTATTAATTTGTTTGAGTTTTGTTAGTATTTGTGAAAGCACAATTATTCACATTTACTATTATTTTAAAATGTTCTATTTATCCTTTTAGTTAGCTCTAATATGTAATAAGAATTCTGCAATTTCCTTAAATTTTCTAAAGTTTTCTGGCATGAACATTTCGATATCTGTTTGAAAACTATAATCTTAATTAAAAATAAAAATTTAACATGAATAACGTTCTAGGTTACCATATGAAGAATTATTTGGCGGCGTATCAGCCATGACGCTTGAACAATTTACAAAAGTCAACGGATTTTCCAACAAATACTGGGGCTGGGGTGGAGAAGACGACGATATGTCTTACAGGTATCCTTTCATATATAATCATTATCGTTCAATTTTTTCTTTCATTATATAGCCCTTCACAGGTCCACTGATGAACAGGCCTCCCCCAAGGAATGCCACAAAGCACGGTCCTGAGCTACTTGTATCCATCGACTTTCTGCAAGTAACTACTTACTAAGTCGTCACTCCATATAGTAGGAGGCCGCCTTACATACGCCTAACGGTACGAGGCTGCCACTCTAGAAACTTTCTTCCCCGTCGGTTGTTGGTTCTTCGAGCTATATGGCCGATCATCATCATTACAACCTATTCCGATTCCGTTGATGAACATAGATCTATTTCAAACTGTATTCGTCATGCTTTACCAGACTGTTTTTGTTTGTAACAAGAGGTCGCTTTCTGAGCAGTTACAAAGGCTCTCGAAGTCGAAAAAGTTGTTATGTTTACACTATCAGAAATACACGGTTCTCTTTAAAAAAAAATGATATGTCAACGTCTCGGCAGACTACTTCCCTTTCGAAAACTATGCTATAACCTATGACTTCTGGTAATCTATGAAACATTATGTGTGTTATCTTTATATGTGATCATATATATTAAAAACTCGGCTAAATATCCCATCCAATTGATTTAAAAAGAGAAACATATTACAGGTAAAAAATTACGCTTTTATTAGTTAAACCTGTATGACGTACGTATGGATGAAAGTAATGAAGTTTTTCAAATCAATTTTCACCCACTTTTGGACGTCTGAATATACTGAAATTTTGCACACGTAGTTAAAAACAAGACTTTCATGACTTTCTTGTATTTTCATCAGGATCCTTACAGCTCATGATCATTGCGAGTTTGTTTAATTTTTTTACTTTAATCATTATATATATATATATATATATATATATATATATATATATATATATATATATATATATATATATATATATATACAGGGTGTTAGTGTAAACATCGTTATCCTTGTAACCAGTGGTTTGGTTTCACTTATAGAACGTAAATTCAATGAAAAATTACAACATTTTTTTAGTAAAATCTCAATTTCTCCTTAATTCCTCAATTTTTGCCTGTCCTAAGCCAGGATGAAAGTATGAAGGAAAAGTTACATCACAGGTTATGTGTACCTATTGTGTTTTTATTACAATGTTGAGTAGGTAGCTAGCGCAGGCGGTGATCTTTACAGTGATTACGTCACTCGGGCGCATAGGGTATCCATGAATTTACGGACGGTGTATGACAGAAACTTTTTAAATTTTATTAAAGAAAATAGCGTTTTTTTTTTAATTCATTGAATTTACGATCTATAAGTGAAACCAAACTACTGGTTTCAAGGATAAGGGTGTTTACACTAACACCCTGTATATATATATATTTAAAATTCTTCAGTCCGTGTGTATGTGACTGAACTCCTTAACGGCCGGACCGATTTTGATGAATTTTTGTGTGTGTAATTAAGTTGATTCGGGAATGGTTTTGGGAATTGTACCCGGTAGTTAGCGCAGTTGTCGAGATCCAGAAATCACTCGTGCGAAGTAGGGGGGGGGGGCGCTGGTTTTATTATATTTATACTATCGCATGTTTCTGTACATATACAATATTATGCCTTTTTTGTATTTTTTTTGTGAATGAGGAGTAATTATAAATGCAACAACTATATACAATTATTTTAACATTAAAATTATATTCCTTTCCTTTATCTATTTCTTAAAAATTTTAACACTCTTAAAAACTTATTTCTTTGTTTTGTTTACGCAGGTTAAAGAAAATGAATTATCATATTGCAAGATATAAGATGTCAGTTGCTCGATACGCTATGTTAGATCATAAGAAATGTGCGCCGAATCCTAAAAGGTGAGTTCTTAACATCAAATTACTAGTCTATAAATGTGATCGGTTTGGACTTATAAGTTAATGGCGGATGTAGTGTAGTAGTATAACCTTCATATAACAAATCTGAAAGGGATTTGAAAATATTCGTTATATTATTTGTTACAATGAGGTTTATTATATAGAGGTTAGGTTAGTCTAATCGTCTCACAAGGTCAGTTAAACTAATCAGTTGAACTAACGTACATCCAAATACTGACCTTGTGTGTGTGAAATCTTAAGTTGAAATTTGAGGACCGTGTGTGGGGAAATCGTTCTGACTTACATCTGTTTGAACTGATTAGTCTTTGAAGGCCATAACATTCGTTTCAGCAAGTTAATCAAACTTAAAGAAAAGGAAAACGCATTGTAATAAATGCCCTTACATTTTCATAGTTTGAATTCCTAGATAATTTTACAATAAATTGAACGTGTCTGAACCTGTCGAGACATGAATTATTTTTAAGATGAATTGGTAGAATACTTTAAGCAGACGTTAATTATACTTTCTATTTACTTTGTACAATGATTTAAAAATCGTTATAAAGAGTTTTTTTTACAAAAGTTATTCCTAAGCACATTTACACTTACGGCCGGTTCCAGAGATTTTTTGAAAATGTGTTAAATCGAGAAAATCGTTATACTAAGGTCATACTGTAATATGTATTTATCGTATACTTTTGTGTGTATTAATTACTTTAAGAATCTCTTACATATTTTTCTTACTACACATATTTTATTATTTTCAGATATCAACTGCTATCACAAACTAGTAAAATATTCCAAAAAGATGGACTATCGACCCTCGAATATGATTTAATTGACGTAGTCCAACATCATCTGTATACCCACATAGTAGTAAATATTGACGAGCACAGCTGATGGAAGTATTTCGCCAAACTTTTGTTTGGCGATGAACGTTAACGTGACCGAATCACGACGATCCAGTGAAAAGACACTGTGATATGATAAAATCATAAATGACGGTTACCTAGTGTTATGATCTCCGTGTAGTTATGAAGTCTTCTACGGATTAAGCATTCTAATGTACGCGTAGTCGGGTACGCGTACACAGGAACGCTTAGTCCGTACAAGGCTTAACAAATCTGTTGTTATTTCTACTGTAATTTTGGCAAATATTCAAACAAGCTATACTTCAGTCAACAGAAGTACATTATTGTAATAGTCTAATTCTATTTATATGTATCGATATTGAAATCAATGTACTTTTTTAATTTAAACTAAAGTATGAATCATCTTGCTCACAATTGCATTTCTGACGGATTCACATTATCGATTTATATGCGTTGTTAATTTGTGAGGTAATGAAATTTTTTAGGTATTTTTACTTATTTTAATTGATGTACACATATAAGGTTAATATTTACCCCTTGTGTTTTAAATATGGAAAAAAATCTATTTTTATTTCAAAAATGAAATGCTTTTTATAATATTTACGCTAGTCGTTAGGTTATGTCCTATGTATGTATGGTATGTTTAATCCCTTTAATGTTTCGCTGTAACTCATTTTAATAGCCCTAATGGAAATAAGGCTATTATCGACATTTTAAGTTGCTTTCATACTCCTATTTAGAGATTTTTCTATGATCAACTTATAAAAAAGGAATCAATTATTTTAAAATTTTATAACGACATATTTATACAATTTAAATCAATTCTTACTTATTATAATGAATAATGATACCGCATAGAAACGACGTAACTTCCTAACCTGCGCGGTAATTTGAATTAAGCCATGAATGTCTTTCTACGTCGTCTATCCGCTATCGGGCTAGTAATTTACCAACAAATAATTTATAGTTTTATAGCTATGATGAAGCGCATGGAAAATTTGTAATTTTCTTACTTTCGGGTAAACACCTATAAGATTTTCTTTGTGTGTGTGTGCGTCGAACTGCGTATTTACACCACATTTACGCGCACAATAGTTTATTAATGACGGCTTTTATTACGTGCGATATAATTCTATGCATCGTATATTTTGCCATTAATATAAATCTATACAATTTTAATTTTAGCGACCGTAAGAATAATACTGAAATTTTACAGTTTCAAAAGTGCTAACGGCCTAACATTTGTATTCTTTAACCTAATACTCAGGTCTACTTCGGTTTTAAGCTTGCTTAAAGTAATCGAATAAATTATTTATAATACGTTTAATTGTTAATTTACTATATGGCAATGAAGTAATGTTTAAAATAGAATTTTTGTCTAAAAGTAATGTGTGTAAAACGATGATCACCATTTTTTTTTTTGGGTTGTTTTCCCCCTGGGTTTTAATTGGGTAATTAACAACCACGTCCATATATTAGAAATGAACTTTTAATAAATTATATTTTGATGCGTTACAATTTGAGTTAGTAATCTTAAAACTTCATCTGTTTTCTGTTAAAAATTATTTTTTATTATTATTTAATGTATAAATGATGTATTATTATGATTAAAGCAGAACTTTGATATTATTTAATGTTATTACTGAACTACTTGAAATAACTTGAATTGACTTTATGGTTAACCATTCTGTTGCTTAAATTTAATCACACCTTGTCATCGATGTATCGGTAGTGAATCCGATGCTACATGCAGCTATTCGATTTATGTGGGAATTCCTATTAACATGTCAACATAAGTCACTATAAATAAAATCCATTGTCTTACACTAGTGTAATCTTATCTGTTAATACTATGAAATACTAGTTTCAAATGTTATGAAAACGTACTTATTTATACTTAGATACGACATTGTAAAAAGCTTTTAGTAGATGATACCATAATATAGAGTAACACGGTTTACCGTTGTACCGAAGGGGAATAGCCGTATGCAGGTTCCCTTCTGTCAAAGTATAAGTCCTCGCGGTCCTATGCATGCAGTGAAACTAGATACAGCCGCACTGCTCACTAGACTAAATTTAGTTGTGCGGCTAAATCCCCGTTATAGAAAAATGTAGACTTGTTCAGTATTTTTGTTGCAAAAAAGAGATCTGAGTAATTTTAAGCACATTACTTATTTTTAAACTTAATAATTACAATATTAACGGTCGTGTTGTTTCGGATTTGCTTACCAACACTGGCCGCTCATCCTAATACATTATGCGAACCGGTCGAGCGACTGATCCGAGTCTTTATCCCAGTTGTCGCTGTCACCGCAGGATACTGTTACAATGTGAAATTATTAGTTTATTATTTTAATAATTGTTATGTTTGAGTTTCGTTGTGACAGACATTGTTTTTATGTGCGCAGATTTCAATTTAAAAATGACACACTTCTGTATCGAGAACAAACGCTATGGATACTCCCCTCCCGGTGGCCCGTGTTGCTCTATGTATTATAATTATTGATTAAAAATCTCAATTATAATTTAAGAAATTCCTTAAGTGAGAAATAAAACAGTTTTTGTTACAAATATTTGTCACGAAAATTGATTCTTGCTTTACATAATAACTATACAACGCGTGAAATTTTATGTAAAAATATCAATTACTGTTAGTGTATAATAAACAGTAAATTAGAAATCGATTATGTAAATGAAATCAATGGCTTTATTTATATATAAATAAATTTTTAACAATAGTGAAGGATTTTCTTTTATTTTACACAATGTTTATTGCCTTTGAGCTTTTTATTGAAACGCATTAAACATTTTCTTGATTAAAATACATTTTCAATAACCTACCCTATAGTAATGATGTACAGCGAACAAAGTCAGGCAATACTTTACTATACTACATCAATCACCTAAATACGGTTTAAAATTTTCGCAAAATAGCTATTTATCGTTTATACGAGTACCTGTTAAAATATTTTTTTATGGTATATTTGATATATCAGACTTTTCACAATTTTCTTCTATACATAATGTTAAGATAAAAACTAGGAAAACATAATTATATAATATTTGTGCCAAAACTGTAAACTCATAAATATAATAAAGCTGGTATGAAAAGGAAATAAAATAATAGGTGGTAATATTATTTTCTACCTAGATGTCTGGCCCGATGTACGAGTATCACCTATTTTTCCCGTTTAGCCTCATTTCACCTACACACTTTTTTTGAATTCTAAAACAGCCAGGATAAATACAACCCGTGAGCTATTTATTATGTTAGTTTTCATGGATTGCAACGTATCTCTGACCTTTGTGTGAAGTTGGTTGGTTGGTTCATAGATGTCAGTACCTACTATTTGGAATCAGGTGGACTGTTAGCTGGATCACAAGTTACTATAATATTATTAAAAAATAACATATAATTTATACTTTTGTTATTATTTGTTAAACTCAACTTAAATAGAATTGATACTTGTTCGTATTTCACTAATGACTGCCGTCTTTTATACCCTGATGATGCCGTGAATCGAAACTGGTTGGTTTATGTAAGACATAAAAAAATATAAGTGAAGATGCGTGTGTAAATTCTACATAAATAAAAGTAACAAATCCTTTAACATAGTTAAATAATATACATGACATGTATTTTAAAATCAAGCTTAAAACAAGTTAAACTTTTATTCCGAATTAGAGTTAGAGAACCGCCGTAATTCAGTGGATAAAAACAGAAATCCGAGTTGAACTCCCGCCGGCACAACTGAAATTGTTAGTTGCAATTTTAAGTGCTGATGCGACGTGCTTTACATGCGTGTAGAGAAATATCATGCGGAAACAGAAGTTTTCCTTAAAATTTTGAAATACTTAGAAATAATAAAAAAGTTTCGGTAACGTACTGGCAATTCCCTGGTGTTGCAATTGTTCATGGGCGGCATCACTTACCTTAGAGAGCCGTATGTTCATTAACCCCCTCGTATATAATAACTATCACGTATTCATAAAAAACTGGATAAAAAACGACCCATAGTAATCTGCTCCGGTACAATATGATGGATTTTTCCTTCTTTATACCATTTTAGTGTCGAACAGATTAACAGTAAATCTGATGGTAAATGGTATAACCCTCGGACATCAGCAACTAACTACAAAGTAGGCACAGATTCAGTTTTACTCCAGATAACTGAGGAATGCTACACAACCTGTAATTATGCAGGCTCAGGCGTAATTCGTAAGATGGTAATTGCTTCACAACTTTTCATCAAACAGAGGTTTGTGCCCAGCCTACTATTTAAGTATTACATACGCCCAAATGTTAAAACGCTACGTTACGCTAATTTTAAGACGCCGCTAAGTCTCGTGCTGTCTCTATCACTTTAAGTCAAAGTGACTGTGACACCGCGAGTCTTACGACATCTTAAAATTGAGTAGCGTTTGAGTATTTGGCCCTTACACTTTTAAACAATAACACTGTATCTTAACTCTTAAATCAATAATATCGACAATATCATTGCTGGCCATAAATAAACATACCCGTGATTTCGTTATCATCAAGTTCCAATAAAATATATTTTTCCTCTTTGTCTACTTTTCTTGTTGTAAACGGAGAATAAAATACACTTATACGTAATAAGACACCGTTACCCGAGTAAAATAAGTAGTACACCGTACAATAGTAGTTACTTAAATCATTTTATCATCAATTTAAAGTTAAAAAGTTAGAGTTACAGCCTATATACGTCTCACTGGCCTACTGGCCACTAGGCCTCCCTTCATTTCTGAGAGGGTTTTACGGCAAGGAGTGTTCGTTTTTTTTTTTTTTCTATAGGCGATTCCCAACACAAAAAAAAGGGCCGAGACACCACCCCAAAAAAATTTAATGTTTGTTTATCATTTGAGCTAACAACTTTATTCAGTATAGTTATGTAAGTCACAGACCTGTTATATAAAACCCAAATAGGGTGGTTAAGTTGTGCGATACATCAAATTTTAAATTAACGCCAAATGTAACACTTAACTTACAATAAATAATTTGAATTT